CTTGCAATGGCCGCACCACGGCGCGTAAAACTTGATGAGCCAGTCGCCGCGGTCACCGGTTTCGAGCTGCGTGAGCTCCTGAAAGTTGTCGCCCGTGAGCTGGACGACGTTGCTGCTACCCGCGTCGTCGGCGAGAACGAGCGAGATCAGCGCGACACAGACCGCAAGAAGCGCGGTCCACACTTTGTTCATTGCACGTTGCTGTGAGAGGCAATAAGAAATGAAAACTGATTGATAACGGTCGATCGATGCTCTTCATCCGGAATCCATCGAATTTGTCCGGTTAATACTGGCGTCGATTTTCTTTGGAAAATGTAGAACTGCGGAAACATCGGTGGCAGAGGCTCGATGCTAGAAGGCTCGGCGCAGCTTCATTGGCACCTGCTTGGTGCACAAGCTGGCGCTACATGTGTGTCCCAGCACATGGCTCGGCGACGCTGAGGGCGGGTTCCTTTGCTCCTCTCATCAAAGTCATACACTCGAGGCAACGGAAACAATCTGGAGCAATAGCAAGTCGACACTAGGGATAGGTCTCGTGTAGATTGTAGCTTGCCGTATCAGACGGGTAGCTCAGGAGACCCGACACGAAATGTGTAAAGCGTCGCACGAGGTGGTGGACATAGCAGCACTGCAGAGTAACCTTGGCGCCAAGACGCCGCTCGATGACAAAGCAAGACATGTCGAGTTGCCCACCAGAGCAGGCAGCGCGTTCGTGTCGCCTGGAGCCCCTTAAAAGCTCTTTATTGCCTCAAATTGTCTTCTTCATATATCTACACACACCTACCTATACGCTAGGCCCCGCCTAACATGAAGTCGTTGATGTCCCCATGTCTCAAAGGATACTACCGGTAGTCCAAGACTAGATAGACAAAGTGTACGTTTTTGTTACAAATCGCTCTTCATGTTGCGAGCCGCCGCCATGTGATTTGTCGACGACGTCGACGACGTGTCCGAGGCCCATGTCGCATTGACGTCATCGATGGTCGTTTTTTCGCACGGGCGGCGGCACGGGCAGGTGGCGCTTGAAGTTGATATTCGCGCGGTCAATTTCGCGGAAGCCGCCGCTTGCGTACTCGGTCATGTACTCGACGGTCTGCGGCCCTTTGAAGGGGTACATGCGGCCGTTGTGGAAGAAGTAGACGGTCGGCGTCCGCCGGACGTTGAAACGATCCTTTAGATCGGAGTTTTGACGCCCGTCGACGGCGGCGACGCGCAGTTGCTTGGGCAAAGCCTTGGCGACAGCGTTGAGCGTCGGCTCGAGCGCTTCGAAGTACGGGCAGTTTGGCGCGTGAAAGGCGATGAACCAGTCACTCTCGGGCGCTTGGAGCTGCGTGACCGCGTCGAACGTGTCGCTATTGAGGCGGACGACAGACGACGCGGCGGATGATGCGATCCAGAACGCGAGCGCCATGTACGCAGACGCGCGACCGAGGTACATGCTGGATGGTTTCTTGCCACTTGGGAAGTGCGTACCGATGTGTAGGAAGGAGCGCGAGGATAGTCGAGGCTTCGATTTTAGAAGCTACAACCGAGGACGGTGCCAACGCCGCATTATTGAGAGACGCCAACTACACCGATTGTTCGATTTGACATCATGCTTTCTACTGTTCCAGCATGGGAACCCTTCCAGCATAGCGGTTGATGGACGTCAGATGTGGTGGCTGCACGGGGGTAATTTCTGTGGGGAAGAACGCGGCTACGAAGGCCAGGCCTGATAGCTTCATTGATAAACACAGCTTGGCGATCACGTACTAGTACCATAGGAGATACCAACGACCGTGTCAAGTCACTGGATATCATCAACAAGGTGTCGACACACAAAAGCTGGTGATACATACGCAAGGTTTCGTTCGGCCCAGCATGCACGACATGTTACGTATGCCACCTCGTATCCAGGCTCTAGATGACGCCCTTCCATGGGCCCTTCCATGCTTGTCTACCTCGACAATCCACTGGAGCTCGACGGTCTTTCGCCAAAGATATAGTCGTCTGTGATTGGCGCATGTTAGCCAATCACGGACGAATATGTAGTGGCTCTCTGGGTTTCGACGCTGGTCACAACCCGCTGCGATACGAGGGCCACAAGCATGGGCAAGGTCTGGAGCGGCTTCCTCCGCGATCTGCGCTTCCTCCGCGTGCTCATCGACGTGGCGTCGCACGGCAACGCGCTCGCCAAGAAGAACCGCCCGGGCGGTTGGACGTTTATCGACTTTTGGGCCGCCGCCGTCGACCAGCGGCTGGACATGCCGCTCGTCGAGGTCGAGCTGCCATCGCCATCGCCGACGCTGCCGCACGAGGCGCGACCAACCAAAGTCTACTCGTACCGCGAGTTTGACGCGGTGACGAACCAAATCGCCCGCGCCAGCCATGGCGTCGGGTTGCAACAGCACGCGACGGCTGCGCTCCTTCTTCCCAACGGCGTGCTCTTTCCCTTGCTCGTACGTCGTCACTCTCGAGCGATTAAACGTCATAGTACTGCGATGTTGTCGGTGGATAGATCATTGCGATGGCCAAGATTGGCGTGACCTCTGCGCTCCTCAACCCATCGATCCAAGGCAACCACCTCGTGCACGCGCTGGACGTGTGCCACGCCACGCACGTCATTTGCACGTCGGCCACGGCGCACATTTACCTCGCGCTTCCCGACGACATTCGCGCCCGCGTCCCGTGCGTGTGCTTGGACGATTTGACGCCGTCCCATGATGACGCGCCCGTGCTGGCGTACACTGCCGCGTCGTCGTCGCCGCTCGATGCGAGCAACCGCGACCGCGTCACGCTCACGGACACGCTCGTGCATATCTTTACAAGTGGCACAACGGGCTTGCCAAAAGCCGCCAAAATGAACCATTTACGCTGGTATGGCGCCGGGTACCTCTACATGCGCTACTGCCGCGTGACAGCGAGGGACCGCATCTACACGGCGCTGCCACTCTACCACGGGTCGGCGCTGCTCGCCTTTTGCCTCGCGCTGCACACCGGTGCCGTCCAGCTCATCAAGCCCAAGTTCTCCGCGTCCCAGTTCTGGCCCGACTGCGTGCACTGGAAGGCGACAGTGGTTCAGTACATTGGCGAAACCTGCCGGTTCCTCTGCCAGACGCCACCGCAGGCGACCGACGTGGCCCATACTGTGCGTCTTGCGATTGGCAACGGCCTCCGCAAGGACGTCTGGGTCACGTTCCAAGAGCGGTTCCACGTGCCCAAGATCATTGAGTTTTACACCGCGACCGAGAGTAATGCTGGCTTGATCAACACGGAAGGCCACGTCGGCGCGGTCGGCTGTCTCTCGCCGCTGGTCAAGCGCCTGTACCCGCTCAAGATCGTTCGCTACGACCCGGTGACACAGTCGGTCATGCGGGATGCGCGCGGTCGCTGCATCCCCGTCAACAATAACGAGCCCGGGGAGCTCATTGCGCTCATTGACAACTCGCATGTGCTCCGACGATTCGATGGCTACTCGGACGCCGCTGCCACCGAAGCCAAGGTGTACACTAATCTTTTGATATTGGGCTGGGGTGTCAATGGTCACTATTGTCTTTCAATAGATTCTGCGCAATGTGTTCCAGGAAGGCGACACGTACTTTCGGTCGGGTGATTTGCTCGAGGTGGACGAGGACGGCTTTGTCTACTTTGTCGAGCGCATCGGCGACACCTTTCGCTGGAAGGGCGAAAACGTGAGCACGACTGAGGTCGCTTCGGCGATCACTGCCTGCGCGTCCGTGCTTGAAGCCGTCGTCTATGGCGTCGTTGTGCCGCACATGGATGGCAAGGCCGGCATGGCACTCCTCCGGATCGCACCAGACGACGACCCAGAGACCCGTGTCGTGCATTTGTATGCGCAGCTACAGGCGATGCAGGTTGCCCGCTTCAAGTGGCCGCTATTTGTCCGCGTCACGACGCGTCCGCTGCCGACGACGACGACGCACAAGTACCAGACGTATGAGCTCGCAATCGACGGCTTCAACCCGCAAACGGTGACCGACGGCGATGTGATATTTGTTATGGAGCGAACCAACAACATCACGCGCGTCACCGACACCGAGTACGCCAAGCTCTGCGCTGGCGACTACAAGCTCTAGGGACACGAGCCAAGCGACCTACGCGACGCCTGCACAAGTGCTCTTTGAACAATCACTCATTCATGCGACGCCAGAGCAATTATGGATGCTCCGTGCTTCATTCTAAAAGTGCACTGATGAATTTCACAAGCTTATTGGCGATATAGCAAGTTCGTCGTCGGGAGCCGGCTCAAGCCTTGTACTATTTTTACTATGCAGATAAAACGAATGAAGTTAAGGCCGAATTTGAAGCCACTGTGGGCTGTAGATCTGTAGATCACGCGCACTGTACTTCAAATTTGTACATCAACTGAATCTGATCCTTGTAGACGGCCGTGCAGATTGGGGGTATCGAATGTATTGGTGCCACGCCTGCGCACTGGTGGGCGAGGAGGTGGTTTGATATTTCGCTACGAGCTGCCAAATGCGGAATGTCTGGACTGGGGTGCCCTGGCTCGTTTTGCAGTTTGGTCTCCTGTTCTTCTACTCTTCTCTTGTTCGTGGCTGCTCGTCCCATCGCGCGGAATCTTTCTCTTCTTGAAAACGGCCCAACCGGCACCACCCTGGTCAGGGCGTCTCAAAGATGGCTTCTCAAAGATGGCTCTTTTGACATAAAACCACACATCACCAGTGACACCATCGTTTAACGCAAATATACACTCATTGTAGTATAACCTATATATTGACGCATTGGTCGGTACTTTAACCTATACATTCCCTTGGGTCCGGCCTACAAGCATAGTCAACACTGTTCTAGCCTTGAGAGGAACAGAAAAGGCATGTCTCGACCCCGACGTCGCTCCAGAAAACCAGCGAGACCATTACCAAAGACTCAAGTCAATCACTGCAAGTCAATGGGCTCTCGAGGCTGCTAGATTCGTGGACCTACAACCTCTGTCGCCTCCAAGAGCCGTCTGACTCAGCTCCGGCGTCGGTTCACGACCGATCTTAAAGATACCGTCGAAGCGCGACCCCGACGTGTAACCGACCGACCCTCTGTGACTCATGTACTAGCTGGGACACACATGTAGCGCCAGCTTTCGCACCAAGCAGGTGCTAGTATGGTCACCGATGCTGCGCCGAGCCTTCTAGCATCGAGTGTCGTTGCCTCTGCCGCCGATGTTTCCGCAGTTCTACATTTTCCAAAGAAATTCGAAGCCATCATTAACCGGACAAACGGGATCGATTTCCGGATGAAGAGCATCGATCCACCGTTATCAATCAGTTTTCATTTCTTATTGCCTCTCACAGCAACGTGCAATGAACAAAGTGTGGACCGCGCTTCTTGCGGTCTGTGTCGCGCTGATCTCGCTCGTTCTCGCCGACGACGCGGGTAGCAGCAACGTCGTCCAGCTCACGGGCGACAACTTTCAGGAGCTCACGCAGCTCGAAACCGGTGACCGCGGCGACTGGCTCATCAAGTTTTACGCGCCGTGGTGCGGCCATTGCAAGCGTCTCGCACCCATCTTTGAAGAGCTCGCTATCGAGGTCGCGGGCCAAACCTCGATCGCCGAGATTGACGTCGAGGCGCACACTGACATCAAGGAACAGTTTGGCGTCACGGGGTACCCGACGCTGCTCTTCTTCAAGCAAGGCAAGATGTACAGCTTCAAGGGCGAGCGCTCGGTCGCGGGCTTCAAGATGTTCCTCGAAGGTGGCTACGAGGCCATGGACGCCAAGGCCGTGCCCAAGAAGCGCGACCCGAACGCGC